TGTTTACACAAACCATTAAATGTAAACAGATATTGATTATTTAACTCTCTATAGTTGAGAAAGCTTCAAATAGGATGAATATATTTTTTTTTAATCATTTGCTTCCAGAAAATGATAATTAATATAAATTAAAGTAAAATAAAAATGTGATCGTATTTTGAAAACGAAATTGTGTTATGTTTTAGAGTTATGCGATTTTTTTGTCAAAACTGCAATTTATGTAAAAAATTTAAAAAATATATAAAGTAGATAGTTGTAATTCTTAAATCATAATCTTCATGAGAAAAATGGTTTTTTCTATTTCGGTGTTAGAATAAGTCTATTCCAGCACCCAAATTACATCATTTGAGTGCTGGAATAAGTCATTCGGAGTAATTTAATTTTAGTGACGGACTTTCTTCACAATTCATTTTCAAATGTGAAAATATGAATTATTTTTATTTTGTACAGCCACCTAAAATTATTCCACATACCTAAATGTCGCCAACCGTGGCAAAATTCTCTAGAAAAAAAATTAAATTTTCGTTTTTTAATTTATAAAATGATATAAAGCGGCAAAATAGAAAAAAATAGTATAAAGCACTTGTTGCAGAAGGTTCTTCAAGCACCCATTTGTTCCTCAACTCGCCGCTACGCGGCTCGTTTCGGAATTTCAAATTTGTGCTTGAATAGATAGATACCTTCTGCAACTTGTACTTTAATATACTATTATAGTGGGTTGCTATTTAAAAAAAATACTCCCAAAAAAATTGTAGAACTCAAAAACAAAAAACAAAATTGAAAAATTTTATTTTGTTAAAACGATCACATTTTTATACTCCTAATACTTTTTCAATCATCACATATTTTTTCCAAAAAATAAATAGTTTAGCAAAAAACGTTGATTCCATACTTTTTCTTCACCTGGTATGTAATAGAACTACATTTCATAAAGCCATTTTTGCAGAACGATCTCATGTATGTACTTGTGTCCTAATTTAATTATAATATTTTTACAAATAAATTGAATTTTTCTAATCTAAACTTTGTCGATGGCAAAATATTTGGTTATAAAATTATTCATCAGTTTAATTTTAATTTTGTTTGCTGTAAACATTTACTGTTCAAATTTTGTGATTAAATCGTGCCACCAAACATTAAAGTTATCTAAATATAATGTCACATTTGCCGGGACGCAATTTTTTAATTTTGCAAATTTTGCAGCAGTGATATTTGGTATAATTAATTGGATTCTTACTATCATATTTGTTTATGATTATTTTTCCAAAGTGACACTAGTTAATAACATACAAAAACCTGAACCTCCGGCCATGAATCCCAGCTGCGGCAGTAAATCAGTTTCTTTTTTGCTTCGTCGAGTAACTATCGCAACATTTGCAGCTACATGACTGTTGAAGTGAATTTTTATTTAACAATTGAGTGCGCTTGAATGATGGATGCAGTTTTAGAATTATAGACATTCTTGGTGTCGCCTCACGTAAAGCTAATAAACGCGAAGTTGTAAAGTTCTCGGATTTTTGATGTTTGTTTCAGGTTATAATTGAAGCGCGAATTTTACGTTTCCTTGTGAACGTCCGGAGATGTCTGAAGTTATTTTGATTTTTGTCGCAGTAAATATAAAAAGTCTGCCAACTGCTCGTCTAAAAAGTTGTTTTCGTTTAATTAATATCTTCGTAGCGTCGTTATTGATTTTTTCCCTCAAGGTTTATACTAACGTAAATAAAATTTCGCGCTTAATCTCGAGCTTTGATTCGAGTTTCCGTTTACTACCGGAAATTAAAAAGCTGGAGGTCATAGACGATGGTCCCGTTTTTGGTAATTGCCTTGAGAAGCTCTATGATATGCACCGCATGCCGGCCATACATGGTTCTACATCATGCAGTAACAACGCCAGGAATCCAGCAGGAACGTCGAGTATGGCCGATGTTACATAAGTCCCACTTTTCATGCCAGTTAAGTGACTTGCTTGCACACGACCCACATCAACCAAAAGCGATTTCATTTTAACATAGTTTAGCCAAAATAAAAATTTCCGTTTTTGTCCGAAAGTACGTTTTATCTAATCTGTACAGTAACGGGCAGAGAAAAATCAAATAAAAAGAACTCGCAATTCAATAATTCGATGAGAGGCTATAAAAGATATCAGCGACGGCTTAGCAGGTGCCAGTACGAAAAGGCCGCAGCTTTGCAGAAAGCCACGTACTGGACGTGGACGCTGCCAGCCATAATAGAATTTTTTGCTTCACTTCTATTCACCGAAATATCAAAAATAAACGGAAATAACACTAAATGTGACTAAACAACTATTTGCATTCGGATAAATGCTGCGCCCGTAAATAGCGACTCATAAATTGTAGATTTTCAACCTATTAAACGTTATGTGCAAACCTTATTTAGATTCAAGGAAAGCTTTAATAATTTTAATTTAATCCCAGTAATTTTTGTAACACAGACACCTCATTTACTTAAGATAATTCACAAGTAGCAATTAAGTCAACACACTTTTACACTTGCAATTGGACGTACAAAACGTGCCACAAGTTCTCTACTTCTGTAAATTACTAACCTAAATGTCTCCCACTATATTATGCCACTCTTGTTAAATTGAATTAGTTTTTCGGAGCTGCACTTCTTTTGGTCTATTCTGTAATTCTAAAAATATGTGGAAATTTCGTTTTAACCATTCAAGAGCTGTACAATTTCAGTGGCTTTTATCACTTGTGGAGGAGAAAATAATTAATTCCAATCGGATAATACCGAATTGTTAGAAAAATGTAAGTTATTCCGGCCGATTTGCTTCATTACAAAGAATCTAACCCAATCGGGCAACTAATTCACACTTCTTGGTTTATTTCCCAACTGCAATAAATTGTTTTTTGGCCTTTGACGAAAACATAAATAATGAAGAAAAATGCATATCAAACTATACCTACGGCGGAAACCTCGAATAATTTCTTGTCGCGGAGAAATATGATAAAGTACCTGCTGCATATAAAATGTGATTAATTAGTCCTACAAGTGTTGCATATTAAGTGTTCCATTATAAAGTCTCGAAACTTTACGAGGGATGATCTCTAACGTGATACAAAGTAATTTTTTATTCACACGTGCAAAGCAGGTTATTATGGCAGTTTAGCAAATTTGCGAAAAGATCAAGACTAGATTTGAGGCGTGCCTTAATTTAAATAAAAAGTCACTTAAGTTTATTTAATGTGTAGTTTACACCAAAATAATTTTAACAAAATTAATAGCTAGATTGAAAATAGATAAAAACAGACAACTTAATAAATATTCTTTTAGTTAGGTACATGACAATAGAAATTATATTGTCACAAAATGTAATTGCATAACATTTCAAAAATACCATAAATATTTATTTATTGATTATTTTATCACAACTTTGACCTTTTAGGTCTCGTTTTATTATTTTTTATTTTTATGTAAAATTTTTAGTAGAAGAAAAATAATAACAGAAACAGGATTTAGTTGCTTCTAGAGTCCGTTAAAAAAGTGACATATCGCTCTTCTATCTGCATGCGTCATTTGATATAGTTGATGAAATTCAACTAGGTCAATAGGTTGTAAATGACATTTGACGTGTTTTGCATCATTATGATTACGTGTTGAACGCGTTCCAGAGTAATCCACTATAATCAGATCTGTGGACCAGGTGCGTTATAGAGTGGAACGGCAATGCGGGGAAATCAACATGCCGTTGATGATATTTAATGAACTTTCGTTGAAGTGGTGTTAAACATGCAACATTTCTGTTTACGTTTACGAAGTATAGCGGGGGGTTTATGAGCCTCTTTGAATATTGGCCGATCGGTTGTGCGATATTTTCTCCTCTCTTGCTTTTCGCTTTTAAATTTTGTGCTAAATTAGATTGCGTCTAAAGAAAACTAATTTCCTGACTCAATATTGAGAGTTTGTTGCGTCCTATGAGTCACTTAATTGGTACAATGGCAATGTGGACTTCAAGGTTAATGCAGATTATAAATTTAATTGCAAAAATATCGGAAAGTATTGACGCAAAAATGGTCATTATAAAGCAATTTAATTTTTCTTGAAGGAGGTTAAAGAATTATGAAAAAGTGTTCTAAATGCAATGTGTGTCCATGCACAATAATGTAAACAGCTACCCGTAATACATGTACTACTAATCCACAGCAAATTATTATTGAAGCACATGATTATAATTTAAGCTATTGTCATAAGATTATGTACGATGTTGTAGCGGTAAACACCTATATAACTTCATAATTTATTTGGAAAAGTTCATTAAAACAGTGTTTAAACTCTACCAAATTCATGTAAATGATTGCTTGTCCATATATTAAAATTGGGTTTAAACTTGTATCTGCAATTGAATAAAGTTATTATTTAAAGCTAACTGAATTCTAGATGTAAAAGTATTGACTTATATTGTGTTTTTACTTTAATGTTTCTTTAATTGGATTTAAATTTGCTGAGACAAAATGGTAGGTAATGCCAACAAAATGTGGAAAGTATGAAAAATATGACATCAAAAGTAAAAGTACAGTTAAAATAATTCCGACTACGAAATAATTTCTGTATAAATATTAGGTATAGTACAATAAAAAATATGGATAAAAAAATCACAAAACAAAGTATTTCATTAGTTCTGACTTTTCTAGATTTTCTTATTAATTAAGAAGCTAAAGAGCGACCAAAATGATATATCACTGCAAGAGATTTGGTATGGAACTCATAACTGTAACAATTTTTATGACTCGACACGAGCTTAAATTTTTCAGCAGATTCTCTAGTTTTATCAGACGGGTTTATTACAATTTTTCATTCTCGATTCTAAAACCTCTTTAATTAATCAGAAATCACTCAGTATATAAGCAAGTATTTAATTAGAACTATTAATTATTTTACTCAAAAAACGTTTTAATATAAAATAAAGTTGTAAAAGTTCGAGAGTTCGGCTTGACGTGGTGTTTTTAATTGATTTTGTACTCGTAGTGACTTACCCGAAATGCCGTCGTAGGTCCACCATTCCTGCCAGTTGTCACATCCCACTGTAACAGAAAAAATCGTTGAGAAATTAGTTCGTCGGCTGTGAAAGAGGGGTCGACCCATATTACAATATATCGAATTGTTTTGTCGATGTCGCGTCTTCACCAGAGAAAGGAAGAACAGTACAGATTCAATTTATAGGAGCTGTATTAAGAAATGTTCGGAAAAGAGAAGGGGGTGGCCAAGATCGCTGACGCTAGTTCACATTTCCCCTTGTCGAAGAAGCGCAATCCAATTCAGCGAGAAGCCATAACCCAGACTCCCGCCGGCACAACGAATTTCCAGAGACATTTCAGGAGTTTTGCCTCCTGTAATTTCGATGTACGAGAGGAAGTGGCATATTATTCATAGTAAGGGGTGTAATGCATCCAATTACGACCCCTAGCACCATAGATGATAAAACAAATATTACTTTTTTATCCCGGAATTTTTGACACCGTAGAGATAGAAATTATAAAAATTTTATTCAAAAAAATGTAATGTTCATACTCCTATTTGTGGCTTTTAAATCATTCACAAATACATATATGTATCTACTTTTTAAAAGAAATTCTATTTTTGGTCACATTCAAAAGATTTAAATGTAATAAAAATTGCATGGAATAAAAGTTTCATTAAAATTTCAGAAGACTGAACTAAATAAATTGTTTAAATGTACCAGTCACTCTAGTTGTAAAAACTTAACAAATCTGATTTTTACATATACAGTATGTCCCCAGATTGAGTTTACAAGATGAACATTTTTTTTATCTTTGACTTTACGCCAAAACTGCAAAAGAAAAACATTTTTTGTTTCACCTGAGACAAGCAAATCTGTAATTAAAACTTCATTATTCTGATTCAGTGAATAGAAAAGTTAAATTTTTTCTTTATTTTGGACCTATACAGGGTGTCAATTTTAAAACTTGCAATCGGCAATATCTCTGGAATTAAAAAAGTTATTGAGAATCACTCAAAATCGTTTCGGTGGTCTTTAGGGGGAATTAAAATGGCATGATAAGTGACGCTCCTCCACCCACCCATCAAGCCACAGCCACCTTAAGTTGAAAATTTTAAATGACACGACCTTACTTGCGATACATCGTTGGAAAGCCCATAACAAGCGCTTTTCAAAAATGTCATACAACAGCCTATTTGATAAAGCCATTTTTCCAATTATTCAAAAACGAAAACGTTAAATTTTAATTTTTTTTATTATATTCAAGGGTGGGTGGAGGTGCGTCACTTATCATGTCATTTTAATTTCCCCTAGGAACCACCAAAACGGTTTTAAGTGATTATTAATAACTTTTTCAGTTGAAAGAAATTGCCGATTGCAAGTTTTAAACTTGACACAGTGTATAATTTAATTTAACTTTAATAATTTATCACTGCTTTTTAAGTCCTATCACATTGGCGGTTGTAATGATTTGACAACTATACAGGGTGCGCCAGAACTCGCGCCCCAGAGAAAAATGTCAAGTGCCGGCGGCAATGGGTCGCCACAAAGTGCAGCCGAAGAAGTACCTTTTGTTTGCATAAGAAAGTTATTAGACCCTTAATTCCGCCAATCCCAGAAGGGCACCTCAGGGTGGGATCGAAAAATTATATTTGTTGCTGGGTTTCAAAAATAATACCAATTTGCCTAGAATCTTCAAGAAATAGTTGGTCTACTGTAATTTTCAAATCTGTCATGTGTTGACATAACACGCTATTTTGGAATATTTTTCTGCCCGAAGAGGTTTTACACGAGTGTAATGGTTTGAATTTGTGTTAGATGTCAATTGTGTGGTTTAAGTTATTAAGTTTTAACCATGTAATTAGCCGCTGATAATTTGGAGATAATAACCATTTTTGGAAAGTGTTGGCGTAACGCTAGGGAGGCAGCTAGGATATTTTCTGAACGTTTTCCTGACAGAAATCGCCCATGCTATAAGGTCACATTGAGGACCATTGCCAGGGTACAAGAGCGGTCAAGTCCTACCAGACCGAAAAGAAATTAGAGGTGTTCCCAGAACGGTGCGCATAGTTGAAAATGAAGAAGCTTTTCTTGATTTTTTAAGATGGCACTAAGTAGATGCATTAGAGAAGTTGTAGTCATTATAACTGACATACTCGTATTAGGGCAGAGGAAATTTCAAATGCTTTGTTTTCGGGGGCATTTCAGCCATGATTTCCAGTAAATTTGTGGACTGACTGAGAATATTCCTTTTTTTCCGGGAGCATTTCAGCAATGATTTTCAGTAAATTTGTGGACTGTTGAGGAATATCAACTAATTTCAATATCAATATTGRAATATTTTTGTGGATTGTTWAATGAAAAAGAAAGCAAGGGGTCTTAGTGCAATGTGTGTTTTTAGGTTACAATTACACTACCGAACAAAAATACCTTGGTAAATCTACAATTTATGACAGTAAAAACGATCCTAACCAGTTTTGTTCAAGCACAAATTCTTATAAAAAGTACATTTTTCTGTTAGTTTTGCAATAAAGTAAAGAAACTGGCGTACATTTTAGTCTTTTTAGTTAATCTAACTCGCTTCTAGCATTAGTTTTCGGCTTGTTTGTGTTGTTCATATCGAAGAAAAAGTTAAGTAGGAACAATGCTTCTGAAGAAAACATCTAAAAGTATTAAAATAGTTGTTGGTTTATCACAGTGGAAATCGAGTTTTCAAAAATTTTCAACGATTTCGTCTCATTATACTTGTGCACAGCATCTTCAGCGAGAAAAATATTCGAAAATAGCGTGTTATGTCAAAAACATGACAGACAATTACAGTATTCCAGCTATTTTTTAAAATTCTGAGCAAATTGGTATTATTTTTGTAAACTAGCAACGGATATAATTTTCCAATCACACCCTGAGGTGCCCTTCTGGGATTGGTGGAATTAAGAGTCTCTCAACTTTCTTATGCAAGCAAAAGTTACTTCTTCAGCTGCACTTTTTGGCGACCCATTGCCGCCGGCATTTGACATTTTTCGCTGGGGCGCGAGTTCTGGCGCAGCCTGTATATCACTTTGACAATTAATTATATATTTATTAACTGAATAATGATAGTTAATATTGACTTTGTTTCTTATTTTAAAGCTGTTTCTTCGAGTTGTCATGTATTAAAATTATGTTTTTCACAAATATTTTTGTTAATTAACATGCGTAAACTTATTTGGCAAAGTAACATCATTGTCAAAAAATAAAGCCGCCAATGTGATAGGATTTAATAAGCAGTGAAAGTCCAAAATCAAGAGAAAAATGAACTTTTCTTTCTGCTGAGTTAGTATAATGAAGTTTTAATTACAGATTTGCTCGTTTCAGGTAAATCAAAAAATGTTTTTCCTTTGCAGTTTTGGTGTAAAATCAAACATAATTTTTTTTTCCTCTTGTAAACTCAATCCGGGGACATACTGTATATAAAACAAAAGCTCAAAAAAGGTTTAGTTAAAAGAAAATTCAGTTATACACGCAAGATATTGTTTAAACAAATTTTGAACTATTGTTTTAGTATGTCTCTGTTTGCAAAGAAACATTGTATTTTACTCTGTTTTATTATTTATTTGGAAATATGTTTTTATTGCGATCTGCTGTTTGCTTTCGCTAGTGAAGGCCGGCAAATACGTTGCACTATTTTAATAAACAAATGTTGGGTGAGTAGTCATCCGAGTGGCATTTTTGTGGATTAAAGAGATAAATTCGGAGCCGGTCGAGACTGCCTCTTCTAATTTTTCCAAGCGATCTTATCGGTCTATAATTGAATTGGATTTAAGATGGAAGAAGCCTGATCGATCGTCTTTCTTTCCGTCATTCTCGAATCATTGTGTCTCTTTTGATATGTTTCCCGTTTCTGTTTGCTCCCAATTTCGACCCCTTGAAATATTTTAAACCGTCTGGCTGGCGCCGTCTTTTCGGCGCCGTGACGCTCGCAAAAACTATCACAACAAATGGCTTTAGTTGCGAGAGCGGCGCCGACGAGTCGCACTAAAGACCTCAACGTCTGGAAACAACGAATTTTATGATTGGATGTGGGTCAATTGACGTGCTCCATCAAATCATGGCCGTTGAAAGCTGCGAAATAAATGTTTTAACAGGAATGTCAACCAGACATGTACGGTTCCTGAATATTTGATTTCAATTTGAAATTCAAATACGTTCAGCTAGTGACAAAATGTATACTATATACAATACGATGCGCAATGGGAAATTGAAAAGTTATACTGTTAAATAAAACTCCAAACAGTATTGAACGAGCGAATTTTGCCGTCTCGAGAGGACCGCCCGCTGCTAACGTGCTGAAACATGTCTTTCATGGAAATTATAGCCAGAAGTTGAATGTGACAAAGCGACACCTTTCAAACTACAAAACGGTCACCAACCCGTCCTCCGACAACACAATCGCCAAACTTTAATCGTACGATTGTTCCAATGCTCACGATTTGCGACAGATTTGAGAACGCCAATATTGAACCCAACTTAACTCGATCTCGGAAACAAATATTTTGAAATCTGGTCCATTAAAGCAACTAAAGTCACATCTTTACAAAAAAGATTGAGGAATATTCTTCAAAAAATACAAATGGAAAGCTGTGAACATGGATTTTATTGGAAAGGTGAGAACATAATTAAAGCACATTTTGTGGCTTCTTTTTTACTTTAATAATTATACTACTTTTGTCCAAACTTGTGTTTTAAAAAAATAATAAACTGAAGTTTATTATCAATAGAAATCGGATTTTAGGTGAAATTTCTTTTTGATTCTATTTAAGACCGGCGAACGGAACCCAAAATTTGAAACGTTTTAGATAAAATAGAGTTTTTTTTTGCGTTTTGCATTTATTTTTTTTAACTTTATTTCGGGACTTTGTTATTGCTTTTCTGTCACTTTGTATTTTTTCTTTCTTCGCTTTAAGTAAGTCAAGTTTATTATTTTGATTTTACAGCCGCAACCGGAAATGAAATATGCGAGGTTCTTGTTATTATCCACGAAAGTAATATTTCCGTGCGCTGAAAAAAAAACAAAATTCGCAAGTG